AGGTGTATTTTTATTGCCTAATCTAGATCTAGCCCTAGATAAATACAAAGCGGCTAAGCATGCAGCCCACGATCGTTACATAAGCCGTAAGCTCCTATTGTGGCTCATTACTCAACTTACAGGATTTAGGTGAACTTGCAGACAAAGCGTTTATGCTAGACGTGCCCAAGATTTAAAACAGCCCTTACATAAGTTTTAAGACATTATTTTGCGCCTTGGTAGTATTTAATTTACTAAAGAACTTAATTAAAGAAAGTTTTATCAACCGAATTGAGAACCTCTTCCTTTTTTAAGTCGTTTAATGATTTTACAACTGTAATCTTTCATCCTCTTTTATAAAATGTGCTATACTGTTGAAACGCGTAGCATTCTTATGAAAAGTAACATGGACCTATAAAAAAAGACGGACGGAACTCGCGCTACAAATAATAAATAATTAATAAATACATTTTTTATTTTTTTATTTTTTATTTCAATATTTTAATGTCGGGAAATAAGTGATTGGATTATTATTTTACCTGTGAAATGTGATTCCTTAATTTTTGTTTGTTCGAACAGAACGGTTTTTACACAATTTCATCACACAAGACATGTCGTATTCGTGTTGTTTTTTCACCGCCTAAATGTGTCAACTGTGTGAAGTTTGCACTCGAAGTGGTGCGTCAGGGTGTGAATGTGTGCGTGCCGGCCTGTACGTACAGGCAAGCTGGTGTATCCTAATGTCACAGTATTTTGTTGATGAGAATCCGTCCGACTTTTTTTATAGGTCCATGAAAAGTAATTGAAGTTTTTTCCAAATATTTGAAAAAGGTAAATCACTCGTAACTACATAAAAAAGCTTATGGTTTGTCTTCGTGTCCTCTTATTCTTGGTGCCTTTAAGCGATAATGACCTTAAGCTCGTCATCAGATGAAATTGAGACGCAGATCGATCGAAGTCACAATAAAGTTTACCACAATTGAATTTTCTTTTGCCCTTGCACGTGAAAAACTACCATTGTAGACAGAAGAATTTTTCTTAGTTTCCAATAATGTTTTTTTGTTTACGCCAGTTTACCATTACAGCGAGCCCTTACATCACGGACATCGGATAGCGTGGCCGATAGCGCCACCGGCCACAGTTGAACACCCTGTATTGCTTCACCAGCGCTGGATTGGATCTATTCTGTAACTAATAACAACTGAGGTCACAACCCTGGTGTGGACGCCATAGGCGATTAACAAGGCATGTCAGATCGATGGCTTATTAAATGCCATACGGAGCAAGGAAGCTTTTGGAAAATGAAATATGTTTGTCACCTGTCATCCGCTCTGCAATGGAGAGAAGTCGAACCTTAAATTCCAACTCCTCCTATGTTCTTCTGATTAATTACGTTGCGGGTCCAATGACAGTTTAACTTTCCCCCGGAACAAAATTTACCTTCACTGGTTGGGTTTTATTGGCGGTCAAGCTGTAGATCCTGGCTACACAGGAGTTGCAGCGGTGGGAACGAGAGGTAGGAATAGTCCCGTAACCTAACTAAGAACATACACAGTGAGTGATCCACATGGGAATAGAACATGGAACCTTCAAATTGAGAGAGTACCTACCTATTACAATCTACAAATTATGTTATCATAATAAGTATCATCCTTCAAAATTGTTATCAGAGAGATTGCAATCATATCAAACAAAGCAGGTAAAACCTATTTTCTCTTTAAATTGTCAAATTTAAAATATGCCTTTTTCAATTGTTATTTGAAAAAATTAAATTCGTCTTTCAAAATCATGTAAACGTTATACTTGCTTCAACTTAAAGAAGTCATTAAGTACTTTGTTATGATGTAAAACAATAAAAAATGCATATCCAAAAAGGCATTAGATTATATCAGGTAGGATCGCCTGACCGCACGGTTGCCACACCGCTAAGGATCTGTTACATTTCGCCAGCTCAATTGTGAAACTGGTACTGGTGCCATTAAATCGTGTACAGGGAAATAAGCGCTGCTATTTGATGAAATAGTTATTGTGGTAGTTGTACATAAAAATAATAAGAAGAGATTAGGAAAGGGCAAAAATAATGAAATGAAAATAATGTTCAATGAAAATGAAAATTGTTATACTCTTCTTGTTGGTGATTAATTAAATAAATAAATAAATCTCATACGGCAAATAAGGCTGGAGACAGACTGTGCGTGATGTGAAATACACACGCATGACGCACCGCAGTGTGCAGGCAGCATGCGTCATGATGCGTGTATTCGTAGTGGTGCAATACGCTCATATACCTATTTCTTACTAGATAACCTAACCTATATTTAAAATATTTTTTTTATAAAAAAAATGGAAATTTTCCCGGATAATTTGGAAAACAAATTAATTTTCAAAAAAATTACAACAGCAACCGCGTTAGCGGCTTCTCTAGATTGAGAACTAATTGGGTATCATGTAGCAAATAATCAATCACCTCCACAACAGTGGAAAGGCCATAATTAAGATAGATTAGAACACACTTTATTGTACACCACACAGGACAAGAAAATAAATTACAATACATAGGAGATATTCAAATAAACCGACGCTGACGCAACTCTGACCCATATTCCAGAGTAGCCGTGGATTTTACTAAAGAATTCTAGCTAGACCAATTCCGAGGAAGGTCTTATGACAAAAATTGGTAAACTTTCCCGGATATATTTCAAACTCTGGAAAACTGAGAAAAACTACATATGGAAATGGATTTTCTTTTAAGAAAAATACATTCGCACACATACACGCTTCGCCATTTAAACGGATCTCTTCCTGAAGTTTGAGAACTAATTGGCTGGATATCTTGTAGCAAATAATTAATCACCTCCACAACGGTGGAAAGGCAATTTTGTATCGTAATTACAATACATAGGAGATATTCAAATAAACGGATGCTGACGCAACTCTGACCCATATTTCGAAGTAGCTTGGATTTATGTCCAAATTATGCAAGAGTGTGGCCCGGCAGACATCCCATTAGCCCTGCAGCAGGCCTATAATAATAAACACTATTTGTATGTCCGCAATAGTTCGCCAGCAGTTTAGTTTTAACGGGTATCCGTCAGTGGCTCAATAGTTAACTTGATTATGGGGTTAGCAACTAGCTAAATGAGCAATTATCACATTTATTACTGTACCTATGTAGTGATTGGTAACTTAGACCCTAGTACTTATTTAAAAGTTACAATTATTATTGACTCTATTTATGTTAGTAGTATTGCGATAACGTCTAATAAGCAGGCAGCATTTTTTTTTACCAATAGACAATAAAGAAAAAGTTGTTTTGGTTTTAAATTTTCTCATTTTACATAAAGTCATAATACTAGTTTAGTATCTATTTATACGGAAAAATATAAATTACCTAGTTACTAATTGTATTTGATCCAAAGTTGCATAAGGAAAATATGGAAATACTAATGATGCACTACGACATGCAACAAAAACAGTCAAAAAAGCTTCCAAAGCTTTCATACGTGTACTATTGTGACTGTGACGCTGAAGTTAATGCTAAGTAAGTATGAGTACAATAATTGAAAGCTTTTTCAGCTCGTGACAACATTCACCCCTCGCCTTGAACCGTAATTAAACCTTTGCTTGCGCGTGGGCTCTGTCAAGAGCGAACGGGTTATCACGTTCACGACAATACTGTTCTCAGGTTTCAAAGGCTGCGGCCACACCACGCGCGGTGTGACTCGGTGCGACATGGTATGACAATAAAGTTTTCATATTGGTGTGAAGCTGAAGTCTTCTAATTAATACAACTTTGTATGAGTAGCTCTGTCAAGAGCGAGCCGGTTATCACATTCACGACAATACCACGTACTGCTCAGTTTCAAAGGCTGCGGCCACACCATGCACTGTGTATTGTTGCGACATGGACTAGAAAATGACATGAAAACATTAATTTATGACTTTAAGTTTATATCAAAATTATGAATGATATCTAATAGTAAAGATAACTAAAGAGAATCACAATGTTTTTATGGCGGTTTTTCCGTGCTAAAATTTTAGCGGATTCAGTAGGTATATTTTTTTAAATCAATCCCCAATAACTGAACCATTAGCCATTGACGTTTGTTTACGATTATAAGGCAGGGCCTCACGTGTTTTCTAAAGCTTGAAATCATATTTCATGACAGATTGTAAAGTTTCAAATTCACATGACGTATTATTCTACCTAGCAATATAACCGGGACTTTATAGGATATTCTGATCAATTAACCAAATATTTACTTTGCGACATTTCACTGTCGCTATATCACTTAACAGTGACGGGCCAGGATCTTGCGCCGATCCTTGTTAAAATTTATATCACTTTACTGTCCAATTTACCAAGACCTCCTTACTTAGTGAGTGATCCCTGAAACTGTATCAACAATGTTCAGAATACTGTATAGATACGGTTCAGATTACAATGGTCAGGGAAACGGCTAAATGAGGTTACATTAGACTCTCGCTATCCGACATTACATGAAATGACTAAATATAGCAAGAAATCAATTTGATTTCCATAATGCACTTTTATTTACACTGATTATTTTATTTAATCATTTCTTCAGACTTTCCTTAATATGGGTAATTTATTTCGCCCGTGAATCGTTGTATAAGAGTCATAATTTTAATTTCCATTGACCATTAATTAGGTCATAACAGTTTTATTTTCTTTTTTATCAAATGTGAAAATTTCTTGTATTGTTTTTTTAAGTTTATAAGAAGGATTTGCGGTCGTACATTGATTGAAATTTTAAGTGTTAGTTGAAAAAAATCAGGCTGCAACATTTTTGGCTCAATATGGCTAAAATAATAAAAGCTAATTGTTTAACATAAAATGCATGCATAGTCCCGAATTGGCCCAATAACCGTAACTCTCAGTTATAGTGCAGTGTCGCAAATACCTGCGTTTGGCAAAATAGCATAGTGGGGTCGTGTACGGTGTCCCTTATATAAGTCCCGGGAGTGGAACGCGTCACACATGACCAGTGCGCGTCGCAGTGGACGGTGATCCTAATTACGTAATCGATTTTGTAGTGTTGTGCGTGTGTTACATTGTTTTGAAAATGAAGGCATTTGTAAGTGTTAATGAGTTATGACATTTTATAAAATTAGTTTATGAATTAGGTAATAAATATTTTAGGGATCTGAGGATTTGTTACGGACTTTAAATGGAAGCAAATAACATCTGTTGATCTTGCATGGAGATTTATTTAAAGCTTCATAAATGCGTGCGAGTGGATAAAAGAAGATTAATAATTTTGGCCCATAAATTATTGAGCAAATGTCCTCCCATAATTTCAATACAAGATAACTAAAATCAAAAGTTGGTTGGGAGGTACTCAAAAAACTTTAAGCCATAGAACAAAAAATGTTTGATAAACGAAACAATGATAATGATGAAATATTCAAGATCAGGTACTTACAGGTCGATCGAAGTACATGTTGATGTTCCTACTTAAGTTTTTAATTTAAAAACAAATATTTTAATTCTTGTAACATGTGTATTTACCTACCTATCACCTATCATCCAACATCCGCATAAAACATTTATTTTTTAATTAAAAATTATGATTTTCTAAACAAAATTAATTTCCTTCATTTAATTTCGATAGCTAATATAATTATAAAACAAATCCTATTAATTTATTTGTTACAAAAATGACGCGTGAATGTTTGTTTTCATTATTGTCGATAAGAGAAGGCAAAGGCATGATCCATGCATTCACACTAACGACGCTAGTAGGTACGCTACGTGCGGATATTTTTTCACGCAACTTGTCCAAGCGCAGATTAGGTAAACCGAATATAACATAAGTGAGATTGAATAGAAGTGCCTACAGCCTAGTTTTTTATTTTTTCTCTATACACAATGTCATATAAATTATTTTAAAAAATACTTAAATAATTACAAGATTTTTTATGTATGCCTATGTACTTTCATAAACTACGTTTCATGTAAAGTAATATATTTTATTGCAAAGTTGACTTTCATTTAAAAGTCATTGTGGTTTTAAATGTTGTATATTACATGTAAAATGTATTAAACATAAACAAAAAATAATTTGCATATAAATTACTTTTCAGTAGTCTTTCCTATCTAGTCATAACTATTAATTACCTACTAGTACCTACCTACAGTCAGCGCCAAATAGTTCGCTACACCCAACGTAGCCAAAAAGTTCGCAACACGTCTTTGTTACAATTGGAATAAGGTGTTTTCAACTTTTTGGCTACTTTGGATGTCACGAACTATTTGACGCTGACTGTACCCTCAATACCACTGCAGTGTCACCAATAGGTTACAAGTCACGACACCGAATACGTAATAGCCATAACCTCACCATAACACTGCCAAAACAAACGCCAAAATTATCCTTTTTGTTACCCAATGCACGCACGAAATTTCGATTTCGTTCCGCCATGGGAATATCAATGGTGCGATGGAGTCACACCACGTAACGAGTAAAAGCGATCGGTGCATTGTCTGCCAGTAATTATGCGATTGATGCAACGCAACCTCAAGTTTTGGCAAACGGAAGGAAGTTTCCGCCTGTGAATGGAATACTTGTTGAATGAGCTTTCTTTAGAGAATGTAGTTTTAAAATGCTTTTGGAAACTTTTATACAAGTTTCTGTATATAAAGTAAACATAATTTATCTTTATTATTTGCCTATCACAGATTTATTTAATTTATTGATACGACCGTGAACATAATGCATTTTCTCTACATAATTATGGTGTACACGCCATACCTTTGATCATATTTAATGCTTAAAAGTAAATATAATAAAATAATATTATTATTTTGACCTTTTAATCTGATATGAATGGATGGAGACAGTCATCTGTCACTCATGCCGATACTTCTGCCACTATTCTGCTAAATGAACATCTATGTTCATTTATTGTACACGTAATTCACCTAGGTATTCTTTTTCAGGTGGCAGTCCTCTTCCTGACAGCGTCGGTTTTGGCTGAACCGAGCAAAGTCGTGCAGAAGCGAAGCGGCCTGGTCGGCCATTACGGGGTCTCTGCGCTAGGCCACGGCCTGGGCTACGGGCACGGCTACGGGCACGGCTACGGCTACGGACTGGGCGGCCTGGGCTCAGGCCTGGCCTTAAGTTCGGGGACTATTGTAGGTGCGGACGTCCATACTACAGTCACGAAGCATGTCGGCGTGCCGGTGCCAGCGCCGTACCCTGTAGCCGTTGACAGGCCTGTGCCATACCCCGTTAAGGTATATTGTTGTTTTATAAACGAACTGTTTTTATCATCGGGTTAAATTGTAAAACAATTCTGGATAATTCATTCATTTCATTGTCACTTTCAGTGTTAATTTGTTGATCCAATTTCTTGTAATTACCTTCATTATTTTATGAATTTTCATTTACATTGAATGAAGTGTTATCAATAAATCTTATATCTTACCATCGTTCATTCATTATCCTGAATATTTTTTTTAAATCACGACACTATTTAAGAATCTTGAATTAACACAACTCCTGTGTCTCTTTCAGGTCGCCGTCCCCTACCCCGTAGATAGGCCTTACGCCGTCCCCGTGCCCAAGCCTTACCCCGTGGCCGTTGAGAAGCACGTGGCCGTCCCCGTCGACAGGCCGGTGCCCTACCCTGTACCACACGCTGTACCCGTCCCAGTGATCAAACAAGTATGTAAATATTGCTAGTTTCAAACTCAAATTACATTAAAGGCCCATTTTAGAAAACGTATACAAATAAATCCTAAATTCACTGGTGCTGAGATTGGCGAAAGAAACTCGGTCACCTTTGTCAGCTTTTTGTTTCAACTTGCCATAACAGCGCTAATTTAGTACCTACTGTAGCTATTTCATTCAAGTTTAAAACGGTTGAACTACCTATTTAGAGTTGAATAATTGAGGTAGCAGTTAAAATAATGCTAAATATATTTTTTGTTTTTCAGGTCGGAGTGCCGGTTCCCCAGCCCTACCCCGTAGCCGTACCTAAACCCGTAGCCGTGCCAGTGCCTCAGCCCGTAGCCGTCCCCGTAGCGCACGGGCCCGTAGCCGGCCCGTACTTGGCTGAAAGCCACGGACTCGCCCACGGATTAGGCCTCGCCCACGGCTTAGGCCTCGGACATGGATTAGCGCATGGCTTCTCTTCTCACGCTAAAGTTTGGTAAAAGATTTACGAGTAGCCACTCGTTTATATTTTGGGGTAACGATCTGCAATAATCTCGACTGACTGAAGTAAAAAATTGAAATTTTTTGTAAGATGTTCAATTAATATTGCAGAATAATTAAAAACGAGTGTCTACGAAAGAATCGATGTATGTAAAGGCATTTCTATAAGGAATCTAAACAGTCAAACGATTTTACTTTATGTGATGTAGGTTAGCCTAGTTGTAAGCTGGTTCGGTGACGATGCATCATAGTTATTCTTCCGTCTGGAGGTGGGTAGAGTGCAATGAAAGGTCGCTATAACCGTCCTTTTTTAAAGGGAGTAAAATATAAGGTCCATTAACACTAGAATTGTTCAAAGCTTTAACGAAAATGGACATGGGATCAAAATTAACTATCTGGGTGTAGCTTTCGACTGATATTTTAGCAGACTCGTACTATCTATCATTTGTTTTGTATTCTTTTTTAGTTACCACATTAGTTTCATTTTTGAATTTTAGTAGTTGCCAGTATTTTTTCAACCGTTTCATATGTTTTCATTTGATCTCTTTTGTTTAATTTTGGGGCAATGACGGGACGTGGATGTTTGTACCTGGTTATACGTACTTTTGTATATAGATTTTCTATTTCTAGTTTAAGTTTTCAATGAATGAATAAGTTTTTTCGACCGCAGTCGACTAAAAACTATTTAATAAACGACGACTTTTGTAATAAAATATATGACATTTAAGACGCATTTTCATTTGTTTTCCTATTGTTACCTAGTTTCAATTTAATATTTACCCAATTACCTAATACTCTACTAGTTTATTCCAGTAATGAAACTTACCAACTTATAAGAACTACATAGAACAATTGTGGCAGGTTCTACTATCTAAATGTAAATAATGTCTCAATTCCCTTCCTGCTCTTGCAAGCCCATTGTGCTCAGCCATTGCTTAAATCAAGTTGTGGGTCAAACCTCCATCGTGCATTTCTAATTAACCTATTGATAAATGTAGTAAATATCTAATCAAAGCATACGCTTAGGTAACTTAGCAGTTTAGGTAGGTAAGGTAAACGGCTACTAGTTCGTGATAGTACGTAAGTTCGTAAGTTTTTTTTCTAGCTCAAATAATAAGCAAATGGAATATTATTTATAAAAATTCTTTATTACTACAAAAACTCTATTATTTAAGCTATCTAAAAAACCAAGTACCAACATTGTGGCGCCAAAAATGAGAGCAATACGAAGCTTCAAACTCTCAGAGAGCCAAAAACAGCCGTGCGGCGTGAAAATGTTTCTCTCACCGTAAGGTTAGCGCTCCAACTTCTTAAGCTTATAAAAAGGCGAAGTAACGTCCATTTGCATAAAGCTTGTAATAGTGGTTTCATGTGTTCCTTGACAATTGATTTGGCTTAGAAAAAAGTTATATGAAAACGTAGAATTCCTTTAAAATTGCGATTAATTGACTCACGAAATAGCGTACATATTATTTTTCGGGTGTCCCCTGTTTCGTGATACTACCGAATCAAGGATAATTATTATGAATAATATTTTGATGCTTGGTTTTTAAATAATTATTTATGATAATTGAAATGTAAGTTATGAAACAAATAATACATTTATTTAAGTTTCTCATGATCTAAATTCGGTATATGTTTCGTTCACTAGAATTTATATGACACGAGTTTAAAGTTCACATAAATGACCAATTTTAAGATAAATTAGCATACGTTCTACGAGCGTAATTTTGGTTTTAATTCGATTCGTTTTATTTATCTTGGTTTATTTGTATTTTATATGGGATAGATAATAGTTAATTGACACAATTTGACAATAATCCATGAATTTTACTTGGGGAATTTGGAATAATCAGTATCACGAAACAAGGAACCGTAATTATTGTTACTTTTTCCCAAGTTCGTGATATATAAATGTATAGTGTTAGGTACTTGTATGACACATGACATCAAAGAAATCGACATATTTTTTAGTTTTTAATACTTACCTACCTAAGTAATAAATTAATGAATTTTTATTATGTGTCATTGGCGTATACATGGGGTTATTTTCAGGGGGGGACTACCCTCATTTGAAGCAGCTCCAGGGGTGGGGGATTAGTCCCCCCCCCCTCATTTTTTAAATTTAGACTTGTATGAATATTTTCACATCGTTAGAAATAAAAAATCTAAATTTTATGGGTACGAAGGGGAGGAGGGGGGGGGGGGTAAGGCCCCCCTATATTTCTGATGGTTATATAAATATTTTCACATATTGTTAGAATAATAAATCAAAACTTTATACGAAGGTACGTACCTACCTAGCTAGACAGACTCACATTATTTCTCATGAATATTTCAGGTAAGTAATATCGTCAATTTCACAGAATTATTTTATTCTAAATTTATACTATCGTTTATAAATTTATTAAACCCTTAATCATTATTAAAATATCCTAACTCGATTCGTAAAACTTTATCCCGAAATAGGGGACATGAGTTCACGAACTTAGAAACAGAGCAAAATTTTATCACGAAACAGGATCCAAACAAGAGGTCCGCAGAACAATTAATATTAAAAAAAGTTTAAACAATATAACTATAATTTATGTATTAAGTTACTGTCAAAAGACCAAACTTTAGCATACAAAAGCTTTCATACTGATATCATCCTTGGTTATTTTTAAATAAATTGTTAAAGTCGTAAGAGCCTTAATATACCGAAGTAGGGGGCACTTACCTTAACTAACATTTTATTACTCAAGTAGATATGCATAGGTCCATATTTTCATGAATCTTTTCTCTACACCGTTCGCAACATATTTTTTCCTAAAGTCAACATTTTGCTAGTTTTTTTCTTGAGTCATACACATTAAAATTGGCGATTGAAAAAATTGCCCTAAATACGCTGAAAATTACGAACTTCTAACAAAATTGCTAACAACCATCGTAACACTGATTACACTGATACTCATCAAGTATGTAGGTACCTAATCTAGACCAGATCAAAGGCAGCCATATCATTTCCCCTTCGATCTAGACCGGCTTACGTCATCGTTCCTGTCCAATACCGGCGGCTTTCTAGACAGGAACATACTCTGGGCTGACGGCTCTACCAGTTTAGGGTATACGGAAGCTGCTACTGGTTGGACAGGTGACGGCATATGAAGCGGCATACTGCGGCATCTTAATGGCGTTGTGATAACTGCTATTTTTCAACGAAAATGTAAAGCCTAATGTGCTGTTGACTGTTCATACGACAGCGTATCAAGTTAAGCTCTGCGGCATGTTAAGTAATGACAGGACTATGACAATAGGACTAAGTAATGACCATCCTAGACTGCATCCCACTTAACATCAGGTGCGATTGTGGTCAAATACCTGCCTTGTTATGCATAAAAAAAGGATGGATTTGTGAGAGATATCTATAATTATCGATGAATAGGGTATCCTATTAAAGAAACTTTGCTGTAGCGCTATTCTTGCCTAATTGCCGCATTTTATAATGATATTCAATTTTTATGAATACGAATTTGGTAGGTAGTAATGGGTTGGAATTTGATGGGTGAAAATGTAGAATGTAATGAGCATGAGAAATAATTGAAGGTAATCAAAGCCACACTAAAATAAAGTTATGTTCAAGCACATAAATCTATTATGTGGGGTTCGAATCCGCGACAACTGGCATGGAATCCGACATCTCTTTACTAGGTTTCGCTTATAGCATATAAAAACCATAAAGTTTAGATTAATATCATAACATATGCAGAATTCCACATTGAAAGATTTGCTATCAATATGAATACACTTTTAAAATATTAATATGTAGTTGGCAAGTAAGTTGTATAATACTATTGCTATTAAAGATCTACGATCAGTATGGCACAATATCAACCTTTTGTCCTAAATAGACACAACACAGACCCTAGGGAAATGATAAGTCAGCGAATGACATAAGGCTTGATCAACGTACACGAATTTGACATTTGTAGTCGTGACCATATTGCCTTTACTTTGTGAGCCCATCAAACTAAAACATAGCTTGAGTATGATAATTTAAAATTTATATTGTATGCCCAACCCTTGAATAAAGCATATTATGTACTGTATAAGTACAGACTTAATATTGAACATAAAATTCGTATGAGCTTTAATTATCAGGAGTGAAGTCAGCATAGGACAGATTCTTGAAGTTATTTTACCAGTACTTTGAGAACACGTCTGGAGTGGAGGCCACGTACCGGAAAGAGCAGTGTAGGGCGTCCTCATGAATATAGCAGGAAGGCGTTTTGGATGCAGGCCGCTAGTCCGCTACCAACCGGCCCTTGTGGAAATCATTGAGGGAGGCCTATGTTCAGCAGTAGACGTCCTATGGCTAAGATAATGATGATGATGATGATGATGATGACTCTGGGAAGTTGGAACCATAAAACTGATTTGTCTATCACCTTGATACAGAATTTATTTACCCAAATCTCAAGTAGCTACAAAAGTTTATGAATCTCAAAATCTCACTTCAATCTACATTTGAAATACTTACAACCCTGCAACGTCTATGCAAATGGCCGATAAAATCAAATTAATTAACAAACGTCAATTAAATTAGCTAATAGCTCCTCTGCGACCTACAAAGCCCGGCATGGCTGCATTACCATAGATTAGATCACAGGATTACGTTACACGTGGCACTAAGGACGCTTGCCCAACTAAGCTATGGGTTTCTACGTGCGCGTGCGCGCTCGAAGCCTAAACGCTATGGAGGTTGGGGTGACCATAAATGTAACAGGAAAGTATTTTTATAAGCTTTTGTAAGTTATCCTGGTTTCCGTAGGTAATCAAATCCTATATTGTAATTTGAGTTCAATGTTTTTTTTTCGTCCATACGGACGGGCCTTCTTATGGCAGCATATAACAGGACGTTCAAAAGTGAATTAAATTTTAAAAATAATCAGTAAATTAAAAGTTCTTCCAAAGTTAAGATTATTATTATCATGGATTTTGATATTTTATTAAATTATCATCATCATCATTTAATTTTGAACCATAGGACGTCCATATTTTATTAAATACTTTCTTAAAACCCATCGTCATCATTATGACAGACCGATATCTACGTGAACTAAAGCTAAAACTGCTAAACTATAATAAATATCTGATTCTTTTTCTTTCTAATTCGGTATTCTACACCAGAATTTTAAACTTGGTCACTGTACACACCTCGTTACATAACGGTGAAAAGTTGCAGTAGGGTTTAGTGTCACTGCGACTGTGTTTATCGGAACGATACCACACTGTGACGTATGTCGGTCGAATTCGCACACCACAATTTTCCGCATGACGTCATACGGTGTCCGAAGACTTCATGTTTCTTGACTGAGTGTTAGCTTCCTGCAAATTGGAAAACGAAATGACATTTTAGTTAACAGGAACTGGCAAACTGTCTACTACTGATACAGCTTGATGTATAACATGATAAATTACAAGTCCCTATTAAGAATAGAGCCTGTAAATCCTGTAATAACGGGTTTACTCATAAAGTAAAACATGTTTAGTAATTACGATGTTTATTTTTCTTTTAGGTACAGATATGAAGAGATCAGCCTAATAAATAAATTAGTACTAACAGTTTTTATGTTTTGGAAAGAATCACACAACTTCACAGATGAGCTTAATGAATGGCCTCTATAAATTATGACCGTTATCCATAAATGTGATAAAATTGTCCTATAAG